AAAAAAAAAAAACTTTTCGTCAGTATCCCATAAACTAAATTAGACTGATTCAGTTTGAAGTTGATAATTGTGGAAGCTGGATTAGAAAAGATAACAAATTCAAGGAAAATACCTTCAGCAGCCTCCTCCCACAGAGACAAAGTTCCATCTGCGAAAACACATGCCACTGCATCACCATACTCTGGAGGAACCCAAACAATTTTCACAATGCCAGCAGCCTCATGCACCTAAAACAAACACAATTGCAATATTTTTTAACACAAAAACACAAGCTTTCAAGTGGAATTGAAAAATTAAACGGAAAAGAAAAATGAAATGTGTCAATTCCTGATATTTGAAACTAATTGGAACAGGCGGGAGTTGGGGACCTTCGATTTTGAAGTGCAGGAGAAAGAGGAAGAAGCTGGGTCGCGCGTGTCGAAGATGGCGAGGGTTCCGTCGACTGAGCCAGTGGCCAATCTCCGGCCGGAGTAGTTCCACGACGAGCAGGTGGTGCCTTTATCAAGTGCCACCAGAGGTTTCTCCATGTCCGTACAGTCCCTGGAGCTCCAATTAGAGCCCAAGGTGGTCAGAGGTGGGAGGAGCGAAAACCTCTTCGTGTAGGGTTTTGGTAAACGTTGGGGCAGGGTTTTAGTCGGGTCGGTTTAGACTCAGACCGGGTCCACCCATTTAAGTTTAACAGTGAGTGAGAAATACGTCTTTCAAAAGCCTCTAAAAATCCTGGATGAAATGGCACCATTTCTATATGACAAACCTTTTTTGGTTGTCCAAACTGTCATGGCAACTTAATACATGTAAGAATTTTCTTAGATTTTAATTAACAAGTCATGTTAAGTATAATATCTTGTTGAAGCTAAGGGCCTGATAACAAGGTTTAGAGGGTTTAGGGTGAGGTGTTACTATATTATGTGCCAGTGATGAATTATACAACGAAGTTTAACGTATGATAATCATTAAGGGGGTTTATTTAATGGAAAATGCTAGGGAGACCAACTTGGGAGACCAACTTGGGATACCAACTCTCTAATAGAGCGTGGGACCCATTGTATTGGTGGGCTCCACCTCTATTAGAGAGTTGGTACCCAAGTTGGTCTCCCAAGTTGGTCTCCCTAGCATGACCCTTATTTAATTGGGATTTTAAACTATTATTTTGGGATAAATAAGTCATGTGGTATTCAATTAAGACTTTTAAATAATCTAAACAAGGCTTGTGGTATTCCATTAAGACTATTAGGATTTTAAAATGGCAAAAAGTCTAATGGTATTCAATCAAGACTTTAAACAAATAACAAAAAGTCTTATGGTATTCAAAATCTTGCTAATTTTCAAAGGATTTTTAAAAATATGAGATTGTGTGAGATTTTTTAGTGGGAGGTATAAATAGCAAGTTCTATCTCAAATCCCATTCTAACCCATTAGACTTTTCATTTGATATTTTTTTAAAATTCTTTCCTCACCTTGACCTCCACCCAAGCAGTTGTGCACTAGGTATAAACCATGGCAACCAAACCACCAATAACGACCACTGGGTATAAGGAATGTTCTTTCCTCACACGAAGACCAAACCACCTTCAAAACTAAAGTTACCTGTTGTTGGGGTATAAGCTTCTAGTAATCCATTAAAAAAATCCCAACTTCTTTTCTCCTTGTTTTCTGTTCAACGAATGATACATTGACACATCAGCGGGTGTCAACTAAGTGTGTCAATATTGTGTGTCCAAATAGCATTACTCTTATATTAATGCTATTTGGACACACAACATGGACACACTTAGTGACACCCGCTGATGTGTCAATGTATCATTTGCTCCTC